CTTTTCAACGCGGTGGGTTATTGGGAATGGGAACACCCACGCCATTGAATCTCGTGACCCGTTTGCTTTTGCAAATGACAAAGTTAAAGATTGTCTTCTTTTTTTTTTCGTATTCTTTAATGTTTACTTGTTCTAAGATTGTCTTCCTTTTTCGTTATCTTTGCATGTGTGTTCAATTCAACAATGGCTTTTTGATTGTTGGTGCGACGTGTTTGTTGAGTTGTCTGAACCGAAGACCAAAGCAGCACGTTGAACTTTCTCTATAATACTATCAAGCTCTTGCTTTTCTGCGTTCAAAAGAGATTCATTTGAGGGCATGATGTGTTGAAAACTTTACAAACTTTTGACTTTAACAATTACTTGTGAGCTTTGTCTTTCTTCTGGGATGGTGTAGAGGATTCATAAATCTCACATGTTTATTTGAATTTATCTTTGGATATGAGTCTTCATCTAATCTTCAACCCATAAGATATGGATACAAGCGTTAGGCTCAATGGTCAAAGTGGACAAGCCTTGTGACTAGCATGAACTGAAACGGTCAATATCCGGTGGGTGGTCATAGTTAGGAGTGAGTAGTAGATCGAATCGAGTCAAAAAATGTTGGGTTACAAGAGTTTACGAGTCTTATTTTATAACTCATACTTTATTTGAAATTTGAGTTCAGTTGACGAGTCAGAGTTTTTTTAGCATTGAATCGAGTTGAAAAATTCAATTTTTTTAGTGGATTCGAGTTGTGTTCACCAATGATGCTTGACATTGATACCTTGCAGGATATGGGAGACTTTTCTGGTTATTTTAGTAATCTATACAGCTTGGGTTTCGCCATTTGAGTTTGGTTTCCTTGACAAACCTGCAACACCGCTCTCAGCTACTGATAATGTTGTTAATGGATTCTTTGCGCTTGATATCATTCTCACCTTCTTCGTTGCATACCTTGATAAAACAACCTATCTCCTCATCGATGAACGCAAGAAGATTGCTTGGAAGTATGCCAGTTCATGGCTGGCTTTCGACGTTATATCGACGATACCATCGGAACTTGCTCAGAAAATCTCCCCTAAACCATTGCGCTCATATGGCTTATTCAACATGCTTCGCCTATGGCGTCTACGCCGAGTTAGTGCATTGTTTTCCAGGTACAAGACTTGATTTACCTTCATCAGCTTGCTTTTTTAGCTCGGATATTTGTCGAAATCTTTCGGGTGACACCTATGGTACTCAGATCATGGTGCAAGTGTCGAATATATCTTGATATAGTATTGATTTATTGTTTATTTCAACAGAATGGAGAAGGATAAGAACTACAACTACTTTTGGGTTCGATGTGCAAAACTCATTTGTGTGAGTACAACTGAACATATAGGGGCATTTACCTGAAGTTTTTGCTGTTTCTAGTCATGCAGCATTCATTCATGAAACTCCGGATGTTTTTTGTAGGTTACACTTTTTGCAGTTCATTGTGCTGGATGCTTCTATTATCTTATAGCTGAACGATATCCTGATCCAGCAAGAACATGGATCGGAAATTCTCTCGGAGAGGATTTCCTAGAGCAGAGCTTGTGGATTCGATATGTGACATCGATGTACTGGTCTATCACTACACTGACCACTGTTGGCTATGGTGATTTGCATCCTGTGAATACTAGGGAGATGGTGTTTGACATTTTCTACATGCTTTTCAACCTGGGGTTGACTGCATATTTGATCGGAAACATGACGAACTTGGTTGTCCACGGAACAAGCCGAACTAGACGATTCGTGAGTGGATTTCTTATTTCTTTCTGCTTTCTGTTCGCTTCAATTTCCTATTAAATCTTCAACCAACTTTCCTTTGTGTATGTTTTTGATTCCTAGAGGGATACCATTCAAGCAGCTTCAAGTTTTGCTCAGAGAAACCAGTTGCCTCCTCGCCTACAAGATCAGATGCTTGCACATTTATGTTTGAAGTTCAGAACAGATTCAGAGGGGCTGCAGCAGCAAGAGACGATCGATTCGCTTCCTAAAGCCATTCGATCGAGCATTTCACATTATCTTTTCTACTCTCTTATGGACAAGGTTTACTTATTTCGCGGTGTTTCCAACGACTTGCTTTTTCAGCTGGTAATCAACTCGAAAACTTGCTAAGATTTTGTTCTGAAATCAACTCCAGACATGCTAAAGTTGCCTCTTTGTGAATAAATGTTTAAGGTCTCAGAGATGAAAGCTGAATATTTTCCTCCGAAAGAAGATGTCATTCTGCAGAACGAAGCGCCTACGGATTTCTACATCCTTGTTACTGGTGCCGTGGTAAAACATTACTTCTTGTTCAAGTTTCTGCAATTCCAATTTGTTCAAATTTTAAGCTTACTCAAACTTTACTCTCAAAATGGTCCCTAATGTTTTTTATTGCTCCTCAGGATCTATTGATTCTCAAAAATGGCGTTGAACAGGCAAGTTCTACTCAAAAACTAGCCTTATCAATCAATAACCATGAACGGACGCTAAGTGAAGCCATTTCTGGACTGGTTTTCAGGTTGTTGGAGAGGCAAAATCGGGTGACCTCTGTGGTGAGATTGGAGTACTTTGTTATAGGCCACAGCTATTTACAGTACGTACGAAACGATTGTGCCAACTACTTCGGCTAAACCGGACTACATTCCTTAATATCATTCAGGCCAATGTCGGAGACGGGACCATAATCATGAATAATCTCCTTCAGGTATTCATGTCTACAATTAACTATATAAACATACTGACTAATACAATCCCTCAAAATCCTTTTAACCTTGTTGTTATCCCACTATCTACACATTAATATGATGAAATATGCAGAAGAAAATCAACTGAATATGTGAGTATAATCTTTATACATATTTAGCCTTGAAATTCTTTGTTTGGGGCAGCATTTGAAAGACAAGAATGACCCGATTATGGAAGGCATTTTAATTGAGACTGAGAACATGCTAGCTCGAGGGAGAATGGATTTACCTCTCAACCTTTGCTTCGCCGCACTAAGGGGAGACGACTTGTTGTTGCATCAGCTATTGAAAAGGGGGCTTGATCCTAATGAAGCAGACAACAATGGAAGAACAGCTTTGGTTAGTGAAAATCTTTTAGCCTTTTCATTTGGTCAAGATCCCATAGGTGTATGTACATGTACATGTACATGTATATGTATATGTATATGTATATGTATATGTATATGTATATGTATATGTATATGTATATGTATATGTATATGTATGTATGCTTAACGATTTTTGACTTGTTTTTGTAAAAAATTAGCATATAGCTGCATCAAAAGGAAGTGAGAACTGCATTCTTCTCTTACTGGATTATGGTGCAGATCCAAACTGTAAAGGTATTCTCCAGGCCGTTCTGTTTTTAACAGTTGACCTTTCTTCGTTTATAAATTATCGTATATTCAAGTAGGGGAATTGATTGCAGAAACATAGTTAACAGTTCAATTGATTTGTTTAATTCTATGTTATGCAGACTCAGAAGGAAACGTACCACTATGGGAGGCAATGCTTGCTGGCCACGATAACGTAGCTAAACTGCTAAAGGAAAACGGAGCAAGCATCACCGGTGGAGATGTATGTAACTATGCCTGCACCGCCACCGAACAGAACAACTTAAACTTGCTCAAGGAAATCGTTCGTTACCATGGGGATGTCACACGTCCAAGGCAGAACGGATACACAGCTCTTCATGTTGCAGTTTGTGAAGGAAACATCGAAATAGTCAAGTACCTTATGGATCAAGGTGCTGACATCGACAAACCAGATGTTCATGGTTGGACACCAAGGGATCTAGCCGAGCAACAAGGACACGAAGAAATAAAGATGATGTTTGAATCTAGAAAAGAAATGAAAAATCAATCTATCTTGTCAATTCCGGAGAAGGCCGAGACACGGTACCTCGGGAGGTTTACAAGTGAGCCGGTTATCTCTCCTGCAGCCCCGGATGCTACAGACGGATCATGGAGACAATCCCGGCGGAGGCGTAGGACAAGTAACTTCCACAACTCACTATTCGGGATAATGTCAGCTTCAAACAATGTGGAGAAAGATTTACTACTCTCTGTTCATCAACCAAAGGGTGTCAAGGATGATCCTATTGTCAACTCCTCTAGAGTAGTAATAAGTTGCCCGGAAAAGGGACAAACCACCAAGAAACTTGTACTACTTCCGGGCAACATCGAGGAATTACTCGAGATTGGTGCTAAAAGATTTGGGATATTTGGAGCTAAAGTGGTGAGCAAAGAAGGAGCTGAAATTGATGATATTGAAGTGATTAGAGATGGTGACCATCTTGTTTTTGTTAGTGATGGTCGTCAAATGCTGCAACATCAACAACAGACTAACATCACAAAACCCCAATGCAATGGGCTTCCTTAGAGCACAAGTTAATACATATTACTAAATCTCATCTTTTTTTAACTGTTTTTACCATATAAAATCCAGGAAAAAATAGCTGAGCTGATCCTTGCCACGTGCATTTAATAAAGCTTGTAAAGGTGTAATATTTGTTTGCTAATAGGTTTCTTTTGTTACAGTAATGAACAATTGTAAATTATTCATTCACCATTATCTTTAAAGCTTAACCGGCCAACTATAGTTTGAGTAAGTTTCGTTTGTAATAAGTACATAATAATGATAAATCATCTAAAAGAATCGAGCCTTGCTTATCAACCACACCAACTCTCTTCAAATGCAACTAAAAGAATCCGATCACGTCATTCGACTAACATTCTATCTCCTAAGTACGTAATGATACATCTATAAAAATGAGCCTTGCTTATCAACCACGCTAAACTCTCTCGAAATGCGACTAAAAGAATCCAATCATGTCATGCGAAAAGCGAAAAGATTTATAAACCACATCCCTGTTTCCTCCATACTCATATTCTATCTCCTAACGACGTTTTCGAGGAAAAGAAGTTTGACATAGTATTGAATTTGAAACCTTGAATCAATTTGGAGATGATAATTAAAAACATACTGCATAAGAACCATTTATCTGCACAAGGGTTTCCATAGAGAAGGTATATTGGGTTGAACAATATAAGTGTAGCTGATTTGGGGATAAAACAAACATCAAGGGAAAACGATACATGTATATCACTGCACAGATTACTAAGCACCCCTCCTCTATCTATTTGACAAAATGGCCAAGAAGCCGACCGAATTTTACCTTTTGGATTCTGAATATAATTTGAATGACTCAACTCAGATACCTCATGGGGCTTTTCTCACCACACATTCATCCTTCACGCTACAAAAGTTTCATCGTTTTCAGGCGTTCTTCGTGTTCTGGATCAAGTTTTGGCGGGGTATAGGAGCCATGAAGGTCCTCCACAATGTACTCCTGCAAAAGACCAATGTCGATGAAAGATTTAAACTGTAATGGTAGGAGAAAAGATATAATTATAAAGCTAACTCTCTCGATGTTTACCTTAGTAAGCTCCCTCTTGGTAATGTGATAGTGTTTCTGCCAGATCCGTTGAACAGCCATGGTGGCAGCAAGGAAACCATACGCTATTCCCAGAATTGCAAAGATTACAACGAAAACTACCACCAGTGCAAAACATGCTTCCATAGATGCAGGAAAGCAATCCAATATACCCCACCCATAACAGCAATTTTGGCATCCAGCCATTCTTGGGTCATTGCTATTGAGGGAGGAGCAATGCAATATGAGACCAAAAACTCCGAGCAATACAAAGAAGGAAGCACCCCTAAGAAATAAGAAAAAAGACGATGAGTTTATCTTCTTACTAAAACAGAAATTGGCATATGCGACGAACTTGTTCATTAAACATGATCAATGCACGAAGCAATGTTTAGATTAGGTAAGGTACCTGCAATATACAACAGAAATAGATAGGCAGAAAATCTGGGAAGCTTACCTATGCAATAATAAAATGGTATGGGATGGTTTGACAGTATGCGATCCCAACCATCATTGAATGACTTCCGGAAAGCCCCATCTTTATCCATGACATATGCAAAGCCTGCCATCGCAGCAATCACCTGAGGAATATAAAAATCCATCATCAGAAAACTATTTCAAGGCTACGCATGACTAAAAATTCGGATAAGAAAGATACTCATATCAGCCTCTTTCACTCCTCCAGATCCCTCACTTGAGCAGTTTTCCCCCCTAACCTTTTCAGTAAATAGGAAGGCAAAAATGTATGGAACTTGTAGGGGGGTTAAGTATTTTGATGAAGTTCCCTTATACAATGTGTCAAGGGAAAGAAGTCTGACAATTATGGTATTATGGCAATGGAAAAATTAAGTTATAGGGAAACTGGACTCTGAATTAACAATGTCTAGAAAGAAGCTCAAACTTTTTGCGTTTCTTTTTGATGTCATGGAAATGCAACAGCCACACCACTTTAACCAATTTAGAATACCAAAGAAAAAATAACAATGCTACCCAAAATCAATTTAGAGAATGACTAATAAATAATTCTCAATATAATGCCACGTAAAAGTTTCAAAATAAACTTCTTTGGTTAAACAAAAATGCAGGCCTCCATCGACCATGTTGCATTTGCATCTACCAAGTTACCTAATCAGACAACAAATCCAAAAAAAAGAAGTATGGAACGTTTCAAGGCATCCAAACGCTAGTGCTAAAACGAGGCTTCATGAATCCAGACATAAAAAATACTTAAAAGTCGAAGGAACAAACGGTGCAGGGGTTTCAACAAGTGGAAGCCACCTTAATCCAACAAGTAATCACCATATACAAATATCAAAATCGGCAATAGTGACAGAAGATGCGAAGAATAAGAGGTTGTAAATTAACATATATGAAAATAACTAATAAAGATATTAGCGAGATGAATGTAAAGGGACTAAGAAGACTTACAGTTTGTACAGCCAAGAACACAAGAAAGACATCTCTTGCCACGAAAAGTCTGAACTTTATTTTACGCCAAGAGTTGTCCTTGAACAATTCAACTCGAAGGTGAAACTGAGCCCTGCACGTCGTGCAATGGGAGAAAGCAAATCCTTCCTATCAAAAAAAGAGGGGAGGAAACTAAAATAAGATCAATTACTAACATATAAATTTCAAATGAAAATCAAGAATTGAGCTTCCACATTCAGGTAGAGAAACCATCTTAATTTACCTTCACCGACCGCCAATGATCAAGGCAAGCACGATGAACAAACTGTTGGGTGCCTTTGCACATACATGGAGATATTAATTCATCAGCTACAAAAAAAAAAATCCATTAGTTCAACATAACAATCGTGTATATTCAATAGTATGCCAAAATTCAACATGAAACATGTTCCAAAATATCAATATCCTTCCAAATGAAGCTCTATCGATAAGATAAATCTGGCAAGAGATTAGAATGAAGGGGGATAAAGTTCCTTGGCAATCTATTATTTGGTTCCCACAGAACATTCCTAAACACAGCCTCATTGCCTGGATGGCAATGATCGATAGGCTGCCTACTCGAGATCGACTTCACCGCATAGGTATTGTTTCTAATGAAAGCTGTGTTTTATGCAACGAGTCATTGGAAAACAGAAATCATCTGTTCTTCGAATGCCAGACTACTTCTCAATTACGAGAACAGATCTTTCACCTCAATGGAATTTACAAGACATATTATCTTGGAGGACTTGATTACATGGGAAAGTAATATTGGAAAGGTAATCCTTGTTAATCACTATCCTCAAATTAGCGTGGAACGCCACAATCTATGTTTTGTGGGAGGAACGCAATCAAAGAATCTTCAAAGGATGTTCTCGAAGCATTGAAGAATTACTCCGCACAATCAAAGACTTTGTAGGTATAAAACTAAGGGGTAAAAATATTAATAGGTTTGATGATGTAAACTCAAATCTTTGTATTGCTTGGGGTATTGACTAAACCGATCGATTTTATTTGGTCTGTATTTTCTTTCTGTTTTCTGTGATCGGTGATTTTTTATAGCTACTTAGCTTTCTTGGATAATAAAATTTCGATTTATCCAAAAAAAAAATAAAAAATATCAATATCCAAATCAGTTTTCCACCTTTAAACAAATTTAATATAACTACATTCACAATCCAAACGTAAACTAAAATATTTAAGACCGATAATCAGAAACAAAAAAAGGCAAATCAAACGAGAGAATAAACCCTTGCCTTCTTCACCATCGCACTCGAGGCAAATGCGGCAACAAGGAGCAGAACCATTCTCAATATCTTCACCCCCGATCTCACTCGAATTCGATTTCAACGACGGATCGATCTCGTTTCGTAAAAGAGAAGCAGATTCACTAGGGTTTCGAGCGCATGCCGGCTCCAACTGCAATTCACCCGCCATTGATCGAAAAAAAGAAAAAAAAAACCTACCAAATATCAATTGCCAGAAATTCAGCAATCACGACGATCATAAAATTCCGATGCTTCAATTCTAAAAACAAAACAACACCGACAGCTTTGAATCAACATATGATTAAAATTTCGCAGAACAAAAGTTCAGGTTCTTGCCTTGAAGAAAACTACAGGGTCGAAAAATGGCAGATATTGAAGGAGGAGAATTGTAAGTACCTGAGAATTTTTTTTCTCGGGAATTTATGGATTTCGCATTCTCTTGGTCATATATGGATTTAGCATTTCTATCTTGTGAATCGGATAAATGGACCAAATCGGTCCCAACCAAAACTGGGGAAACTCTTTAGGTTAAACTGCAATGAATATTACTGAACTTTATCTTTATATCATTTTAACCAATAAACTTTTAAATTATTCCAATTTTAGCACTAAATTTTAGTATCAATTAAAATAGTTGATTGTTAAATCGTTAACTACGCGACGACATGATCGTTCCATTCATGTAAGCTTTGTTCGATGTATTGATTTTGTTACTAAAATTAGACCGCATCAATTTTAGGCATTGAACTTTAATTTACTTATCAGTTAAAATTTAATGATAAAAAAAGAAGTTAAAACTTAATGACGTTTGGGAAATTTAAGAAGTAAAATCAATATTTTTAATTTCATTTTAAGTATATATATTCATTTATGGATAAACATGACCCATAACATGGTTTAAGAGAAACTCATTGTGGTACACATGACAACAGTTTCTCCTTCCAGAGTCGATCCATCTTTCAGCTCTGAGCCTGCTGAGCTATCTCGGAGATCCTTCGATGAAAGCATGGTGTAACAATCATATACGTGATGAGGCCCAGAACCGAACCGGTGTCGAACTGTAGATTCAAAACGAAATATTATCGCAATCGTTTACCGATACAAAAGAACATTAATATTTCAAGAAAAATGAGGAGTTGGACTTGTGTTTAACTCCATTTCTATGATATGCTGCATATGCACATTGATGATGGTACTCACAGAGTATGAAGAAATTATTACATTCTTCGGGTTCGGATGTGTTGGATATAGTTATGTGTCGAGATCCGTGTTCGAATATGTGCTGAGAATGAAAATTAGAGCAATATGAGGATTAAGGAAGCTGTTTACCTGTATACTCTCTGTTCTTAATATCAAGCTGATTCTTTACCCTTAATACGCACTCTGAATGTACTTTTCGATTAGATGTAAGATATCGATTGTCAGCGATACACGGATAGACATCAAGTCCTACCTCTTTCGAAATCGAATCTTCCTTTGGAGTAAGGAGTAACTTCCTGGAATCACAATCATAATAAATACTTGATTTAGCAAGATTACATTCAGGATCACAATTTATAATGATTACAAAAGAATACTACCAAACAATCCCTTGTACGGTGAAAGCTTTTGAGAATTTACTCGATTTTGATTTCAATAATGCCGACAAGTTTTCGATTCTCCAAGCGTAAACGTTTTTAGGTGGCTTCTTCACCATGGAGAGGCACCCCATTCTGCCAGTATGTTTAATGACAAAAACTTCAGCCCCAAATATGCAACAGTCATCAACCAGATATCCTTTGGAAACATCATCGAAAACATCGAGCGAAAGCAGCTGAGGCACGCCCCATTCGGCCTTCATCTCGTGAAAACACCTTATATTTCCATCTGCACGGAAACGTTCATCCATCGACCGTATAGGCATTGCATACATCTGAGCATGAATTTCAAATATAAAGCTAAATTTGATGTTTGCCTTGAATGGTTAAGTATTTGTCAAAGTGCTGATCAAACACAGAGAATGTGAAGTTGGCATTAATTTCCCAACCACTGGGTAAGGATGTTGTATCGGCGACTTTCAAGTGAAGTGAAATGTTGTTTGATCCGATTTTGCTGTTCCCTTCGGGTAGAAACATAAGTTCTGCAACAGATTTTGACAGACATTAGCCATCATGGCACAATATTCTGTCATGGATAGTTACTAAACGAAAATTGGATGAACCAACCATTTATATCCCCCTGCTTCGAAAACACCAGATTCGTAACTTTCTGATCCGGTTGCACAAAACAAGGAGTATGATTCTATCTTAAGTAAGAAGTGTGCCGGACGAAGATCCTTCGTCGATCTTATAGTTCCTGTAAACCATCAGAACTCCCAACATTAATCAAAGTTCAAACAGAGCAAAAACCATCAAAGCACTTTGTTACTTGTAAAGCAAGAAAATCGAGTAAAAGAGTATGCAAAAGTAGCTCGAACATGGATAACTTTGTGTAATGGGCGTTACCATCACTGGAGACGCCATTGAAGACGGGTGGAATCAAGAAATCTTGCTCCCGCTCACGTGATCTTTCCATTGAGGATCGAAGCAAATTTTTTTTTTAATCTGATTTGGGAGTAAGACTGTCAATTTATATAAAATCAATAACTCAGAGATCAATTATATCAAATCATCAAAAATAATAAATTCAGTGTAAGAGCGTACCTAAATTAATTGTTGTAAAGACTCTTTGACTGCTTAAAACTAATATAAGTTAACCTATTTATATAGAATATAGAACCAATACTAAGTCAACGAAGTTAATTTGATATTCCTTTTTAAAAAGTGTCATAAGAAGTACTTTTAAAATATTTTAGTATTTAATTGTTTGAAATTATTTTAAAAAGTATTTTGAAATACAATATTTATTTAGACATTATAATAAATTAAAATATAATATTCGAATTATATTATACTTGTTAATACTATGATATTTAAAATATTAACTGATATATAATAAAAATATAAAAAATATTAATGATAATTAATTAATAACATATTTTTGTGAATTTTTTATTGAAAAACAATATCAATACTTTTAATACGTGAACTTAAAATTATTATAAAATAATAATTTAATTACTTGTTTGATAAAAAAAAAATAATGTAGGTAACTTGATATTGAACGCTTCACTCTAGTATTCTTGATGCTCAATCCCTCAAGAATAACAATAACTCATTTACCACATAAATCGTTTGGTTCGTGTTTAACATTGGATATATAAAGAGGATACCTAGGTAAGATGTTCCATGAAGGATCTGTAAGCCATTATATATGTTTTACCATTATTTTTCCCCAACCAGAAACCAAATAGCTTGCAATCAAATTTTTTTTTAAGTTGATAAAATCAGAAACATGCTCACGGTTTACATTGTCACTATAAATCTGGTTTTGCCTGTTCCGTTTTTGCCAAAACAAAGCACCATAACGAAAAAAAACGTACTTCACTTCCATAGCTTTCTTAAGGACATGTTTTTCTCGGTCTCCTTCTTCATCACCTTTGCCACCGCATCTCGAAATCTTCTGTGTTACATGGACTCCTT